GTTATCGATGGTATTTCCACGTCATGATTTCCACGAAAATAATATTTAATTATTTCAACTACAGGGAGTTAGAGAAAAAGATGAAAGGGTGCCGTCTGCTTTCCATTTATTTCTGTTTGTCACTTGACAAACTACATCATTGGTATTAGTACGGCGCCATGGCCCTTGTGTGCGTTTAACTCCATATAATCTGAAACTCTGATTCCCAGTACAACTGCGTCCCGGTCCTTGTTTTTCCCCTCCTTTCTTTTTTTCTGGCTCTCCTGCTGTTCCTCCTCATCAGCCTGCAGTGCGCATTTCTTCTCCGTCAGCAGTATGTGCGTCTTGCAACATGGCACTACTCCCCGACCCGCGCTGCTCTTCCCAGACGGTGTCATTTCCGGTGATTCAGTGAGGCGGCGAGCTTTCCGAGATCTCGCGGGCCGGAGGGGCGGAGCGCGTTCGAAAACACGACGCCAGAGCCGGAGTCGTGTTTTTGCCCGGCCGGGAGGGGCGCTACGCGGACGCCTCCCTCCGCCGCTGTGCCGCGCAGAAAAGCACTTTGTCTTGCATATTACGGTTTCTCAGGAAGGGCGCGCGGCGGTCGTCGCAAATATGTAACACGGCGCCTATTTTGTATGCGCGATGACGTTTTCTGCTGCGTTTGTGAACAAGATCAAAAACGCCATAAGGCACAGAAGTCCTGTACATGTTATGTTACCTATTTTCCGCTGTCACCGTTGTCTCTGTAATAATTTCAGAAAATGCTCATCTTTTCCCATTATTGATTTTTGACTATTAAAAGTTGTTATTCTCTATTTTGAAAAATACAGGCATAAATTGTGAAATTTGCAGCAATCTTTCATTGATGAGACCGAATGCACTCATTTTAAGGATTAAAGTCACAGACTTTTTGCCCCCTTCAATGAGTGCCTTTGGTCTCATCAATGGCAAATTGCTGTGTTGTCATAATACAAAGACAATTCGTTCGTATATTATGAATCCCCGCCCCCGCATTCGCCTGCTGAAAGGTCAAAAAGTCGCGGCGGAAGTGGATTAACTCTTAAAGTCGGTGTCTCGGACTTTATTTTCATAAGTCACCCCCTGAGGTTGTGAGCCTGGGCCGGGCATGTGTGGCGCGCCTGTCCCCGCAGTCGCCCAATAACCTTCTTGACCGCAGGCCGCCACGACGCCCGCTGCTCCCCGGGGCGCACAGCGCGCAAAGCTGCTCTCCCTTATGCCACCTCCCCTGCTTGGCCTTTCTCCGTCCGCTGATACTCGCTGAACCCGTGCTCTTGCTGCAATTGTTGTTGTTGTTGTTGTTGTTGTTGTTGTTCGGACACCTTGCCCGCGCTGCAGGCGCTACATTCCTCTCCGGTGTCATTTCTCTCGCGGCTTGCACTGAAAACAAAAGTGAGCTACTGGCACGCTCATGTTAGTGTGCAATCCCATGGTGCATAGTTTTAGGTGTTAGGTTTTAGACTGAACGTATATGACTAATTAAAAGGAGTGTTCATTGTTCAACGGCAAATTTTCAAATTTGAATACGTTAAGTGTTTAACTTAAGGCTTTTAAGTGCTCAACTCAAGCTCACTGTTAAACAACACTATACTTCGACTTTACTTTTTATTGCACTGGAAAAACAAAGGTAGGACTGAATGCCTTTCTGGTGGTGTTCAAGTTTAAGGTAAGGGTCCGGTGAAAAAATTGCAATTTTTGTACAAATATTCTTTAATGAGTTTTTGCCGAAAAAAACAATGTTTCGACCTCTCTCCTTTTGGGAAACCATGTAATGTTCACGAAACGTGTTTTCTTTTGTATTTTGGATCGGTCTACCTAATGGCTCTTGTAGCTTTTTCGACAAAAGCCTGTTGTTGATAGAGAACATTTTGTGGAACTTTGAGAAACTTCTTGCGCAACAGGTTGTGAGGTAGAAAGCTGCCCTTTGATTTGTGACTTCCTT